TTAACCCATTCATCACTTTTACATATATTTTTTATCATAGGAAAAACATATATGTACATAACAGAAAATTTACCATTTTAACCATTTTAAGTGTACAGTTCAATAATATTAGGTGTAGTCACACTGTTGTGCAACCATCACTACTATCTATCTATAGAACTTTCTTCATCTTTCCAAACTAAAACACTATATCCATTAACAAGAATTCCACATTTCTCCCTTCCCCCAGCCCTTGACAACCACTATTTTACTTTCTGTTTCTATGAATTTGCCTACTCTAGGTAGCTCATAGCAGTGAAATAATGCAATACTTCTCTTTTATGCCTGCCTTATTTCGCTTAGCATAATATATTTAAGGTTTATATATGTTGTAGCATGTGTCAGAATTTCATTCCTTTTTAAGACTGAATTATATTCATATACACTGAGCGGCCAGATTATTATGATCTCTGAATGCATAATAAGCTGGCCACTCAATATATATATTAGAGGCCCAGTGCATGAATTTGTGCATGGGTGGGGTCCGACCAACCTGGCCAGGAGGAACGGACATGGGCGGTTGGCTGGCCTGCCTGCTGGACAAACTCCTGGTCGCGGGGGCAATTTGCATATTGGCCTTTTATTATATAGGATTATGTAGGATATACACTGAGTGGCCAGATTATTATGTGTCCAGAGATCATAATAATCTGGACATTCAGTGCATATATAAATATATGTGTGTGTGTGTGTGTGTGTGGGTGTGTGTGTGTGTGACTTGTTTATCTATTCACCTGTGGATGGACCTTTTATTTTCTGAAATCAACTCTGCTTATATTAATCTAGCCACCCTCATTTTCTTTTCTTTTTATTGTTTAAAATATTACATATAGTAGTACATATATTGCCTTTTTTTCCCCATTGAACTTCCCCAGCCTCTCCGTCCCATGATCTCATCCCACTGCACCAGTGTCTTGTGTCCATTGGTTGTGCTTATATGTGTGCATACAAGTCCTTTGGTTGATCTCTTTCCCTCCTCCCCAACACTCCCCAGCCTTCCCGTTGTAACTTGACAGTCTGTTCAATGCTTTACTGCCTCTGTATCTATCTTTTTGTTCATCAGGTTATAAATGTTCTTTATTTTCCATAAATGAGTGAGATCATGTGGTATTTTTCATTCATTGACTGGCTCATTTCACTTAACATAATGCTCTCCACATCCATCCATGCTGCCGCAAATAATAAGAATTCCTTCTTAAAAAAAAAATATATATATATATTTTTTTTTTAATTGATTTTTTTTTTTTTTACAGAGAGGAAGAGAGGGATAGAGAGTTAGAAACATCGATGAGAGAGAAACATCAATCAGCTGCCTCCTGCACATTCCCCCCCCCCCCGGGGATGTGCCCACAACCAGGATACATGCCCTTGACCGGAATCGAACCCGAGACCTTTCAGTCCGCAGGCCAACGCTCCATCCATTGAGCCAAATCGGTTTCGGCAGAATTTCTTCTTTTTTATAGCAGCGTAGTATTCCATTGTGTAGATGTACCAAAGTTTTCTGATTCAGTCATCTGCTGACAGGCACGTAAGCTGTTTCCAAATCTTAGGTATGGTGAATTCTGCTGCTATGAACATAGGGGTGCATATATCCTTTCTGATCGATTGGTCTTTCTAGTTTCTTGGGATATATTCCTAGGAGTGGCATTACTGGATCAAATGGGAGTTCCATTTTTAGTTTTTTGAGGAAACTCCATACTGTTCTCCACAGTGGCTGCACCAGTCTGCATTCCCACCAGCAGTGCACAAGGGTTCCTTTCTCTCTGCATCTTTACCAACACTTGTCGTTTGTTGATTTGTTGATGTTGGCCATTCTGACAGTTGTGAGGTGGTACCTCATTGTCGTTTTGATTTGCATCTCTCGTATAATTAGTGACTTTGAGCATGTTTTCATATGTCTCTTGTCTATCCTTTTGTTTTCTTTTGAAAATATTTTATTTAGGTCCATTACCCGTCTTTTAATGGATCATTTATCTCCCTTTTATTAAGTGTATAAGGTGCCTGTAGATGTTAGAGATTAAACCTTTATCAGTCATAACATTTGCAAATATGTTCTCCCATACAGTGGGCTTTCTTATTGTTTTGTTGATGGTTTTTTTTGCTGTGCAGAAGCCCTTTATTCTGATGTAGTCCCATTTGTTTATTTTCTCTTTAGTTTCCTTTGCCATAGGAGCAGTGTTGGTGAAGAAATTGATTCTGCATATGTCTGAGGTTTCTCTGCCTGTGGATTCTTCTAGTATTTTTATGGTTTCCTGTCTTATGTTCAAGTCCTTTATCCATTTTGAGTTTATTTTTGTGTATAGTGTAAGTTGATGATCTAGTTTCATTCTTTTGCATGTATCTGTCCAATTTTCCCAACACCATTTATTGAAGAGACTGTCATGTCTCTATTGTATGTTCATTCCTCCTTTGTCAAATATTAATTGAACATAGTGATTTGGGTCGATATCTGGGTTCTCTATCCTACTCCATTGATCTATATGTCTGTTCTTGTGCCAGTACCAGGCTGTTTTGAGAACAGTAGCTTTGTAATACAGCTTGATACCTGGTATTGAGATCCCACCTATTTTGTTCTTCTTTCTCACGTTTGCTGCAGCTATTTGCGGTCTTTTATGTTTTTTTATTCCAGATGAACTTTTGTGGGAGTTTTTTATATATCTCTGTACACGGATTTTTTGTGAGTTACACGTGTTATAAATATTTTCTCCCAGCTTCCCACTTCATTTTCTTAACCATGTCTTTCAAAGAGCAGACTTTTTCCATTTTGTTAAGGCCAATGTCTATGTACTCTATTATTACACTGCCTTTATTACTATATCTTAAGTCTGGAAATCAGATAATGCAATTCTCCAGACTTGTGGGGGGTTTTCAAAAACTATTTGGGGGTAAGTTTGTAAAGTTTGTCAAAGATGCCTGCACAATTTTTATTTTGATCAATTTGTAGAGAATTGATATCTTAACAATATTCAATTTCCTGACCCAGGACCATGTTTGTTTGTTTGTTCTACATTAAGTTTGATCTTTAATTTCTTTCAGTGGGTTTTTCTTTTTTCAGTATGCAAGTTTTCTCAAATTTATTTCCAAGTATTTCACGTTTTTGGAATATAAATTTTATAAACACACATCATTTCCATTTCTATTTATTCATTACTAGCATACAAGAATACAATTGAACTTTTGTGTATCTATAACTGTAACCCTGCTAAATTAAGTTCCTAGTTCTATAATAGGTTTATTGTAGACCCATTAAAGATTTTTTAAATACATGATTATAATATTTGCAAATAAAAATATACTTTTCCTTTTTGAACCAGCAATTTGTAAAGATCTTGTTTTAGTTCTGAAAATCCAACAAGGCTCTCTGGACTACACAGTTATTGGCTCACCTCATGGAAAGACCTCATGTATCTAGGGATCCTCAGAAGAGCTATCAGCTGCCCGTCCTTTCCAAGTTCCAGAAGAGTAGCTGCCTGTAGATTCCATATTTATAAAATGACTTAACAGAAGAGACAGGTGGTTGGTTTTTTTTGTAACTTTGATACTAATTTTCAAATAAAACAACTTTATTTTTTCCCTTTTTATAAAAGTATACTGGTTTTTGTTGTTGTTGTTTGTTTGTTTGTTTTTGTTTAATACAAAAAGAACAGAACAGAGAGACAGCAAGAATTTTTAAAAATCCATTCTCTTGGACTTTTCCTGACATTTCTTCTAAGCATTTTAGCGGAGGGAAAATGGAAAGCATTGGTAGCAGAAAGGACAGCAGGTGGAAGGAGGCGTGTCCTGGGAGTTTAGGAAGAAAAAGGCAAGTAAGTCCTCTGAGAGGCAAGGAGAATGGAGAATGGACAACAGACCCCAAAAAAGATAGTGCCCTCCCCTGGCAGCAAAAAAAGGCCCAGGCACACACAAAGAAGGGATGGGACCAGCGAGCTGAAGCAGTTATAGGGACCCCATGGCGGGGGCGGGGCGGAGCAGGTTGGGCCGGGGCGGGGGCGGCTCTCTCTCTCTCTCTCTCTCTCTCTCTCTCTCTCTCTCTCTCTCTCTCTCTCTCTCTCTCTCAGGCCTCACAGGACCGGCCCCCTCACCCCCTCGCGCCTCGCTCCAGCGCCGGACCCCGGAGGCCCACGCCCTTCCCGGTGCAGCTCCCGCGGCCCCGAGGGCGCGGGCGGGCAGCCCCAGGGGCGGCAGCGGAGCAGGTGAGGGGCCGGAGCAGCGCCCGGTATGGGGGGGGGGGGGAGACCACGCTCTCCGCCCCACAGGAGGGGGTGGCGGGGGGTGAGGAGCGGACGGCTGGGGTGCCCTCCGGGGGGTTGGGGTTGGGCTGCTCGGGGACGCGCCTCGGAGATGGCGAGCTCCCGCCCTGGCGCGCCTGCGGAACGGAGCTCCTGGGGGCCCCTCAGTGGGGACCGCGGCGGCCCGCGGGGGAGGGGGTCTAAGCAGGGGGCGGTTGGGGCGGGGGGGGGGGGCCGGAGGCGGGGGGACCAAGGGGGCGGGGGGGGGGGCCGGTGTGGGCAGCGCCCCGAGCCGCTCCGGCGGCGGCCATCGGGGGAGCCGCTGCGGGGACAGGCCCGCGTGCGGGTTCGTGCTGGGGGCGGGGAACACCGAAAGCCCTGAGACCCCAAGTCCTCACCCACCCCCATCCCGTCCTCCGCTTTGGTGCCTACGGAGGCCCGGCTTGGATCGCAGGGAAAATGGTGGGTTTGGGGCGAGGGGAGGGAGAGGCGTGGGGGAGGGGGGAGCTGGGGCTGCAGGCCCCCTAGGGGGCGGAGGGAGCCTCTCAGGTGGGGAAATGCCATTTTAAAAAGTGTTTGAAATTCAGGCCTCTGAGTCCTGAAAGGCGCGTAGTAGGGCCTTTGTCCTCAGTGCTGATCAACCCATCAATGAAGTGGTCCCTTCTATCTCTTGTCTCCTAGGAGCAATGGCGTCCAGAGAGGAACAAGTGGCTAAAAATCTCAACGTGGAAGATGCCCAACAGGAAAACGAAGGAGGAGACCAGGCCCCTGTGCAAAATGAGGAGAAATCACGCCATTTGGGAGGAGGCGAAGCCCAGAAGCCTGGAGGAAATGTCAGGCTGGGGTGGGTTAAGCGACTTGTCCCTAATTTTCGTTGGGCCATATCTAATGAGCATGTCGACCACAAATGAAGTGAGAGATAATAGAGAAAAGATGGCAGTGCAGCGGATGGAAATCAGGAGAAAGAATAGGGAGCAGCAAATGAGACATGTTACACGCTTCCAAATTCCTGAACCTGATCATCATTATGACTTTTGCCTTATACCTTAAATCCTAAGGTTTTCACTGAGGTTAATAATGCGGCCTCTGCTACAAAAGCTAGTAGTTTTGTGATTTACTTTTCTGTAAACCTTTTGATGTTTCCTCTTACTAGTTTCTAATTGAATAATGTTTTTGTCTCTATAAAACTCTCTGTCCAGCAAGGCAATTTCACCCAGTTTTTTAAAAAATATATTCTTTTCATGATGTAAATTAATAAAGCAGCTTAAAAGTCAATCTTCCTATTCTACCTGGGTGTTTTTATTCTTTGTTGATATTACTTTTACTCTCCTAACTAGCTGGACTCAGAATCTCAGTCCACTTTTACTACTTTTCCTTGCCCTCTACCAATCAGTAAGGAGGGATTCTACTCATAATTCAACATCTGATACCATTTTAAAATTGTGCTTCCTACTGTTTTTCTAAGAGTATTGAGTCCATCTGCATAAATGCATTGATTGGGGAGCTTTTTAACAATGTAAGACCGCTGAAGCTGATTTGGCTCAGTGGTAGAGCGTCAGTCTGCTGACTGAAAGGTCCTGGGTCCTATTCCGGTCAAGGGCATGTACCTTAGTTGCGGGCACATCCCCGGTAGGGGGTGTGCAAGAGGCAGCTGGTCCATGTTACTCTCTCATTGACGTTTCTAGCTCTCTATCTCTCTCCCTCTCTGTAAAAAAACAATAAAATATATTTTTAAAAATAAATAAATAAAAGAATGTAAGACCTCTGGCTCCTATCTTCCAGACTGGAGCTCAAGAATCTCCAGTTTTTAACAAGCTCGTTGGGTAATTGTATTGTATAACAAAGCCTGAGGGCACTATTTTGTATATGTATGTAGCTTTGTACAGATGTGTATATATTGGTATATGTATGTGTCTACATAAAGCCATATATTGTCATATTAAGTGTAAACAAGTAGATAACATAGCATGAATACTTATTTGAATTCAATGGGCAGAATACATTAAAAGGGAATTATAAAACCTTAAAATAGACTGATTAATAAAGTGGCAGATGAGGGTACTGGAGTTTAGAGATGTTAAGTACCAAGGCTACCACCTACTGTAGATCTTGGGAGAGATGATCTGGCCTGGGCCATTTTTTATACTTTGTCATCTGGAGATGCAGAATATTTGACTTATAACTAAGCTGAGGAAAATCACGAAAGACTTGGCAAGATGAGCTGTTTTTTAATATTTTTTCTACATTCCCAATGCAGACACTAATATTTTTAGAATACAGCAGAAAGAAATCCTAAAAAGCCCTCCACAGTGCTCAAAGTGAGGATTGCCACCCATTATAGCTATTGAAATTAACTTTGTGGGTCATAACAAACAATTAAAAAAAGGCCCTGGCCAATGTGACTGGTTGGAGTATATTTGATTCCTGTCCTGGTTGGGGGTGAATGCAGAGAGGCCACCAATTGATGTGCCTCTCACATGGATGTTTTTCTCTTCCCTTCCCACCCTCCCTTCCATTCTAAGAATCAATGGAGAAAAATATCCTTGGATGAGGATTAACAACAAACAAACAAACAATAATAAGCAATTAAAAAAAAAAACACAATAGGCCTTGGCCAGTGTCGCTTAGTTGGTTGGAGTGTCATCCAGTACACAGAAGGGTCACAGGTTCAACTACCTGTCAAGGCACATACCTAGGTTGTGGGTTCAATTCCTGATTAGGGCACAGGCAGGAGGCAGCTGATATGTTTTCTTCTCACATCGATGTTCCTCTTTCTCTTCCTTTCTAAAAGTCAACAAAAAAAACATGAAAAGCCTGGCCAGTTTGCTCAGTGGGTAGGTGCCGGCCTGAGGATTGAAGGGTTTGATTCTGGTCAAGGGCACACGCCTGGGACGCAGGCTCGATCCCCACTGTGGGTATGCAGGAGGTGGCCAATCCATGATTCTCATCGATGATGTTTCTATCTCCCCCCTCTCCCTTCCTCTCTGAAAGCAATAAAAAAATTTTTAAAGCTTGAAAAAATTTTAAACAGAGGAATAGAACAAAAAAATTAGAGTCCCTAATTGATGAGCAGTGCTAAGAATTGTTTTAAGAAACTTGTCTTAGTTTTACATGACAATAAGAAATATTGTCACCTTGTGGTATTTCTAACTGTACATCACAGGGTAAAACAAAAACCTGAAAGTCACTTTTTTCAATCCAAACATCATTTCACAAATAAGGAAACTAGGGAGGAAAGTGGTTTTCCCAAGGTCACACAGTTAGTGGTATAGCTGGGACCACAATTCCCATTTCAGGGTACTTGTGTCCTCACACAGTGTCTTCACAAGGCATGATTTGAGATTCTTGCCATGTGTCCTGGTTACCAGTGATATGCATAAACAAACATGTGCAACTTATATAAAAATACTGTTTATTTAATGTTCACCTCTGTCATCAGAATCGTTGCATGTTTGTTTGAGAAACACGTTTAGAAAGGACTCTGTGCCCCTTATAACATTTTGGAGTTAGAAAGATCTTGCATTTCTGTCTGGACTTGCAAGGTGGTGAACTCGTAGGCACTTTTTGTTGTTGTTAATCCTCACCCCAGGTTATTTTTTCATTGATTTTTAGGGAGAGGGGGGAACTGGAAAGATAGAGACAAACATAAATGTGAGAGAAATACATCTATTGGTTGTCTCCTACACAAGCCCTAACCAAGGCCCAGGCCAGGTGCATACCCTTGACCAGAATCGAACCCAGGACCTTTGTTCCACAGGCCGACGCTAAATCCACTGAACCAAACTGGCTAGGGCATAGGCATTTTTTAATAGCTACGTGATTGAGTGATGTTCATGAATGGGCTTTTGGTCACTCTCTGTAAGTGGTAAAGGTCAGAGAAGAACGTTACAATGTGATTGGTAAAAGGAGAATTGAATTAAGACCCTTCCTCCTGGTTGTTTATCTGATGGTGGGGGATGCATATAGAGCTTTCGAAAGTAGTATAATTTAGGGACAATGATCAGAATTTAACTGAAGGAGAAATTAAGGAAGCACCCTTTCCTGGGTGGTTTTGCAAGGTTGGAGAAGTGAGGACAGACTTTGTGGAAAAAGTAAAAATTTAAAAGAAAATTGAAGATCGCTTCTCGGCCTTTTGGCTAAGATCAAGTGTAAAAGAAAATTGAAGAAAAACTGAGTTAGCACATTGAATACTTTTATTAACTTACTAGAGGCTGGTGCCTGAAATTTGTGCATGGGGGTGGTCCCCTTAGCACAGCCTGCACCCTCTCCAATCTCGAGGGATGTTCGACTGCCCTGTGGAATTGGGCCTAAACCGGCAGTTGGACATCCCTCTCTCAATCCAGGAACACTGGCTCCTAACAGCTCACCTGCCTGCCTGCATAATCACCCCACCCCCCTCCCAATGATCTGGTTACCCCCAACTATCCCCTCTGCCGTCCTGGTTACCCCCAACTACCCCCTCCCCGACAGTCTGGTCGCCCCTAAATCCCCACACACACCAGCCTGGTCACCCCTCACCGCCCCCTCCTGCAGGCCTGGTCACCCCTAACTGCTGCCCCCACCAGCCTGTTCACCCCACACAGCCTGCTATTCAGTCATTTGGTCATCCCTCACTAAACACTCTGTTGGGCTGGATGCCCCACACAGCCCCCTGCTCAGTCGTTTGGTAGTGCCTCACTAACTCCCCTGCCAGCCTCGTTGCCCCACAGAGCCTGTTTGGTTGTCCATTCAGTTGTTTCTGTTGCAACGGTCACTTAGGGTTTTATATATTATATATAGATACATCTCATGGGAGTAACTACTTTTCCTGAACATGGTGGGCAGTACATTGTGAGTTTTTAAGGATGAAGAGGCCTGTAAGAAAATAAAATGAATCTCTTATGAAAACAAAAGTAAATCAACCAGGAACAACAAAAGCTCTTAACACATTCATCCACATGTCATTTAAATATTCATGTTTGTAAACTTTTTAGTTTCTTGAAGAAAATATGTTTTTAGAGGGAGAAACCAAGATGGCGACATACCCTGTTTCCCCGAAAATAAGACAGTGTCTTATATTAATTTTTGCTCCCAAAGATGCGCTAGGACTTATTTTCAGGGGATGTCTTATTTTTCCATGCACTAGGTCTTATTTTCGGGGAAACACGGTAGGTAAAAAACCTGAACTTGCTGCCTCACACAACCACTTCAAAACTACAACTAAAAGACAAAACAGGTATCATCCAGAATCACAGGAAGGCTGACTGAGTAGAAATTCTACAACTAGAAGGAAAGAGAAAAGCACTCTGAGACTCAGAGGAGGTGTGGAAGTAAAGTGCAGAGGTATAGAGGTGTGCACACAGAAAAGGCTGGCAACTGATGATGCAGTTGTCTTTTTCAATCAGGAGGGAGATACAATTTCCCAACTGCTCTGAACTACAGTTCTGGGCAGGACTCTGGGGATGCAGACATATGGGGAAAAACTGGACTGACTGGCATCAGGCAGAACTCGAGGGTGGCTTTCTCTGAGATGCTTGCAATGATCATTGTTGCTGCATGGTGGCATGGGACACAGAGACACAGGACCTGTTCCAGGCAGGGCTGACGGTCAGCCATTGCTGTTTACTTGACCCTGGTGATTCCATGAGACCCCACCTAATTTGTGCGCAGAGGCTTTTGCATATGAATGGCCTGGCCATTTGCAATCTGAAACCTAACAAACTGCAGCTTGGTCAAAGAGCCCCAGAGCCTCCAAAATAAGACCCAAGACTCAACAGCAGCTTGCATTGCTTCACAGCTGGGCCTCATCTGGGCACCTCCAAACCCCAAACAAAGAGGAGGAATCTGCAGCTCTCTCTGTAGCTCCTGCTGGGTGGCCTTTCTCCTTGGAGATCCAAGAGTCACTGTACCCAGTGGTCAGAAAGAGATCATCCAGACTACAACTCTTCAGATCCATAAGAGACCCACTCAGGGGACAGACTCAGTGAGTGCCAGAGCCCCACTGAAGCAAGTCTTGCCCCATAAGGGTGTCTCCAGCACAGAAGTTCTCCCAGTGTAAACACAACTGATCC